CAGAGACGATTGAAATATTCAAGATTCGTAGTTTTGCATACCCTCGCGACGGTTCGCCGCCTCATCGTGGCCCACAAAGGTCAGCCTATGGTGAAAGCTTGGCAGGGCCCTGAAAAAACTCTGCTAATGTTTGGGTGAAAATCCTTTATCGCCCGTATAACATGTAAGAGAAAAAGAAGCCTTGCGCACTGATCACATCTACGGCGTAGCATGTCATCAAGTCCAGTTTCAGGTAGCACAGGACGCCATAAATTTCGGACCAAAAGGAAACGTCAGTGACTCGCCATGGAGATGGTCTCATGCTCTGCACCTACAACGCCAGGAAAATCTCCACCAACGCCAATCTTCACGCCCTTCCCGAAGCTGCAAGGCGCATCAACTACCACGTAATCACAAAGTCCAGGATGACGGACGTAGGCAGCTGAATAATGACACACTCATCATTCATGGTGAGAATGTTCCATAACGAAACGTTGGAGGTGTTAGATTTGTCGTACACTCATCTGCTGTCCATCTTGTCGATACGCATGAAATCCTATAAGTCGCCTGGCCATCCTTCGACTCCGTCCTCTGCATCAGAACACTATTACTATCATCCACTACTATTCTCAAAAACCAGCAGCTGATAGCTCGGAACTTGATGCTTTTTATAATTTGGAGAAAGTTATCCGCAAGAGTCCCTCTATAAATTTGTTATGGGATGTCAAAAGAAGGAGAGCATAGGTTTGAGAAATTTGGATTAGTACTCCGGAATGAAAATGGTAACCATCTTGTTGGGCTCTTATCGGCCACAAGACTTTGTCATGGCAGCTCTATCTTCTTGAACGGAGAACACCGGCAATGGATATGGGAGTCACCCAACGGTACGCCTCATGCGGGCGACCACATTTAGCCGCAGGTGATGCTTGCTGGACATCTCAGTGGTAGCATCTTTCAGCAGTGATGCAGATCACCACCTCCTTTGAGCAAAAGTGCGATTTAGCCGAAAGCTGGAAAAGAAGATCTGTCACCGAGTTGGAGGAAGGAGAAAAGTTGTATGTGACCACGTCAGAATGGAGGATTTCCTGACCACTTGTGGACAGAGGTTCTGTGGCGAAAGTGCTTCAATGCCTCGAGCAAGGAACTTGGAACGAATTTTGAAAGGTACGAAGGATCTGCTACAGGGGAGGAGAACACTGAGGCTGGAGCCGACTGCATCACATCTCGAGCGACTGGTAGCCAATATCAGTTGCAGAAAGTTTTGCAAGAAGATCTCCGAAAGTATAGGCAATCTATACTTTTGGAAGCAGCACAAGGAAGGAGAAGTCTGAAAATGTACCGCAGGGACC